AATACGATCCGAAAAAAATACTGTCGTGTGCAATTAAAAACAAACTGTTTTGAAATTCGAAACTAATAGACACTCTGTCGAAAAAAAACAAACCTTTAAAAAATATATTTCCCCTTTGTTCGAAGGAGGTCCAAGTTCAGTGAAACCTCGTTTGCTTATTTAGGCCCTTTCCTAGAGTATTATATCGCTTACAATTAGTCCCTGTCGTCGACTAATGTTTACGGTTCACGTCCGTCGTAAAATGTACCGTTTGTTTGTTTTTTATTTAATTTAGAAAACATTTGAGACGAGATTTGAGGTTTTTGGGGAGAGGGTTGCGTTATAAATAGATTTCAGAGCTGTGCTATAAATGTTACGAAGTTTTACTTGTGTTATTAACCGAAACGATGATGTAGTTAAAGCATTCAAAACTACTCAGCATTAAATTTGTTTTCGTCAAAATACTATTATTAAGTGTTCTTCTAAAATACCAGAGTGTCTGTCCTTTGTATATTTTACTGTAAAAAACCTTCGCTATAGATATTCAATGTCCTTAAATTCTCAAAAATTATTACCTACGTACTAACATAGAGACCGCAAACAACGATGCTTGTTCATAAAAATAACTCCACACTGTTGAATAAACAACGAACTGATATTGTATCCTGCATTTTATTATATTACCAACCCGAGGTTCGGGCTTCGGCTAAGTATATGTATGTTTGGTGCCTACCCCGTGTGGAAGAAACAGTAAACTTCATTAGATAAAGATTGTTTAAATTGGTCCAGTAGTTTTCGAGGCTATTCAAAGTCAAAGCAGATGAATAAACCTTTCCTCTTTAAGATATTGGTACAGAATAGTAAAAGGCCCCCTTACATATTCTTATTTGTGTGGTGTCGTAGGTACTCAATATAATGTCCAAGTTTATTGACATGGACCCTCTTTCGAAGGTGTTACTTTAAGGAACTTTAGCGCCGTGGAATTTTCTCGAAGGTCGGACCGAGTTTGATGTCGTTAGCCACCGGAATTATTGCAAAGATTGTTGTCTCGTTTCCTTGCAAAGTTTGTGGTTTTTATTTGTTGTTCAAAGGGAGGAGACATTACGTGAAAAGAACTTCCTGGAGTTTCATCCCCTTCTAAGAAAAAAAACGATGTAATACATATATTTAGGTTGCTATTGTAAACGCAAAACTAAAGTGTCTATAGGTTTTTGTTTAACGTTTTTAAGAATAAGAACTGAGAGAAAGAGAGAGAGATAAAAGTGCAATACATTGGATGGTTTGAACACTGTTACCTCTAGCCCCTAGCTCTTTCTTGCGAAAGATAGACTGTTTCAAACAACCAATAACTTGGTCCAATAGAGACATTGCAATGTCGCGCTTACGAACCTAGCCAACCAATCAATAATTCAAAAGCATTCGTTCTGGAAAAAAACCAACAACTTACATATTATAATATTGATAAGGTCTCTGAGAAACACCACATATGTCCCTGACAGTAACCGTCGAACTAAATTAGGGAAGAAAGGAAAAACAGACGCACAATGATAGCAGTAATACCGTGCTGTGAATAATTCACATACACACACAAACAAATAAATCACACTCCATGTAATCAAGTCAGACACGGGCCCGTCGCGGTCGCAGCGCACTTGATTTACCTACAGTACGTTGGTACTTACTAATGAACATTTATTTATTTTCGGAGGCTAAGCAACGGCCGCAATTAAATTAGCAGGCCTTTACCGTGATATCGTTCCTATTTTGAGAGAAGACTGTTTTTAATTTGAAGATGTCGATGTCTGACAGATATCTTCGCCGATACACTGATATTATCTATACATAATTAATAAAATATGTTAGTTAATTATATTTACATAGTACAACTCCATATCAGATTGTAGCACGGACCACATAAATTAATAAAGCTAATCGATTCTTAAAATAAACTTTCAATAAAGTGACTGAAAATATGAGTGGTCAAGCAAAGTATTTAATACATTATTCTCTCTTCACTTGGACCTCTCTAGCTTAAATTAACACGTATTACTTTAATAAAGTCAACTATCCCACTCGCACTCGGTGACTAGGTACATATCTAAGTTAGGCAAAGCGTATGCTAAGTCAAGTTTATTTATCTTGGCTTAAGACACGAGATGGTCTGACTTAATTGGAGCATCTGCCAACTTTGGAAACACATCCAACGTTTGTGCCAATGTTTGCTGAATATTATCACAGTCGACAACTTGGTTCATACTCAGTAATGTAATCAGCAAACTCATATCTAGAAAATCTGTTTAAACTGTTAATCTATCCAGTTTGCATAGCAAGTCTATACGCGAATCACGACGGAGATTTAATTATTCATTCAATTTGGCAAGATAATAGCTTTATTGTTAGCAACAATAGAATGTAGCCAAATGAGGTCGCACAGTTTCCATACATTTCGTCCATTGTTCGGTTTGTTGGCCGACTCGTGAAATGTTTTATCACAAATTTCGTATTTTCGGCAACGAACGAAACATTGGGCGATCTCCATACACAATGCGGGATCTCTAATTTATTTGCTCGAAATAAACGTGTAACGAGCTCCATTGTATTTGCAAAATTGAAGCTAACTTAACTTCGAGCCGAGGATGGGTATTGTCATTTCTTGCATTCGTTTTTATTCATGCCTTTGTTGGTATTAATCGTGTATCAATGGTGGATGGATTTTTTCTCTCTGCTCTACCTCCGATGATGTGGGGTGTACCTTATGAATGAAGAAGTCCACCAAATAGTACTCGTCATTAAAAGTCGTCTCTTCATAAGTAACTGTCACATTAAGCCCATTACAGCAAATGAAATTCGATCCAAAAGTCGACAATTCAATTGCGCGGGAATTGCTCAATGACAGCTCGTAAGCTGTCAAAAATTCAGACCACAGATAATCTTCAATCAGGTCGTCGATAAAGCGATCCGTTTCGGCGCAGAGGTTCATAACTGACCAAAAAGAATGAGAATATGGGGAACGGGTCAGAACGTTCTATTCCTCATAAATGTTTACCGCCCGCCCACCGTATCTTAGTTTTATTGGTCGTATGAACGCTCGCTGGCCGCTTTATTTCCTCTCTTGTGGCAAAACGACTCGTTATCCGCAATAGAAAGAGTAAACTGCTTTCATTATGATTGATCGGATTTTGTTATTTTGCTCTTAACTACACACGAATGGATTTGTTGCATGATGAAAATGTATCGTGCTTTTATGATGGTTTTCTTCAAGAGGATTGACTAAGTTAAGTAGGTACTTAGTAGATACTAGATACTCTGTCTACCTTTCGAATATAAAATTGAAGCGTCTAATGGTAGATTGAATGAAATCGGCACTGATAATACTGTTAAATAGCATTTTCAACGAATAATACACATTATTGGCTAGAACAAATATTAACCGTATCCAACCACTTATAAACACCGACAGAAATCAAATGAAATAACGAGAAATTTTGAAACTTTTCATTAAGATGAAAAGTTTCAAAATTGGCGCAACAATGGCGCTGGAACTAAAAGTTTGATTAAAATTGTATCGAGTCTTGACACAAACACTTCGTGGATCAATAAAGGAAATTGAATTCAGTATCTGCTCTTGTGGGAGATGAAAAACAACTCGGAAACAAGCTAATTGAAGCGCTTCTGTTACTTGCAGCTGATTAAAAATGTTCAGTGTTTGTTCTCATACTTTGCTAAACCGCGCGACGGGACCAACATAATTAAATGTGGATTATCTGCCGCCCGAACAGCCAGCGAATCGTGAACGAGGATTAGCGATAGCCGACTCCACAGTTAAAATCATAAAAACACAAATTTACATTAGTAGTACCTCATTCCAAACTCTGGCGTTAATGCCTCTGGCGTTTGTGTTGCAATAACGACGGAATCTTGATTGAGATATTAAGCAAATCGTAATAGTCTGGGAATAATTGGAACCAATCTATTTTGTAATTTCGTGAGGATATCCTTCGGTTTGAGTGGGTACTTCCTTTTTTCTAAAGAACAATTAATCTCGAGACGTACAAAGCAGGAAGAGGGTCGGTTTAAAGAGCTCCTCGCTTGCTTGAGGTCTACCGCCGCCGTTTGCTTCGGTATTCAAAGAGTTGTCTGCAAAATTGCATCATTCCGGACTTTTTACTCAGAGATTTCTTTATCTGAAGAAGTAATGGATAGCAACTGTTGAGGAATGTTTATATTGTCCGGGAGATGGTGTGACCCCTCCCTTGTGATTTGTTAAGTGCCTACTTTCAGCATTGATCGTTTTTAATTAAAATTCCTCTGCTAAGGTCACTGTTTTGTTCAGCGCTACTGCCTTAAAATATTCCTGCCTGTGTTTAGTAAATAATACTCGTTCAGAAGTAAGTGCTAACCGGTGTACTTAGTTATAGTTACGACCTATTCCGAGTTCCCAGTATTAATCTAATAACAGACATTCAAATTATGTTAGTATTTACTTACATCTAGTTTAAACAAACAGTTGTATAATTATGTTCTAGGTAATGAAGAATGATTTCAATAAACTGAATATTTACCATTCCTAATAAAATCACACACTGATACAGTTCTGTAACTGCATACTAAGTACTGTACTACATTGTTGTAACAACATAAAGATTATGAATAAAGCAATTAACATTTCTTTATAACTTTAGAAAAGAAAAGAAAAAGCGTAATTTACTGATTTGTCACGTGTCGCGGAATGCTGCTCATGAATATGACCCTGTATCGTGGCTTAAAACTGGTCGAGCTCGTCGTTAAACAGTTAGGTACATGAGTAAGCCGAACATAATAATTAACTTCTGATTTACTTCAGTTTTTGAACTTTCAGTAGCATTTTGGTTCAATATTAACTCGTCGAGTACCGGTTTTGTAGACACAATTATAGAACAATAGGTTGCGGTCACCGGTGACCGCTTGGTGTTTGACAGTTTAAGGGTAGATAAGACACAAATTACATTACAAGTTGCACTGAAACTCTTTTCAAAACTCACCTTGGAAGGCGGCTTCGAACTGCGCGGGATCTTGCGTGGAGGCGCGCGAGGTGGCCGTCACCAACAGCGCGGCGAACAGCGCGGCCAGCGGCGCCACCCGCGGCGCAACCATCTCGCCACTACGCCATGCCATCTCCGCCCATACCTACACCAACTACACGCCTGCCCTGTGGACAATACAAAAGAAATACGATTAATAAAAAAAAATACATAAAACAATTGAGTGCTGGAAAACAGTCATATCAATGTTAAACTTAAAGGTGGCCTTGTTGGCAAGCGTCAGTAAGTACAACTATTTATGGTACAACTACATACTTATATGTACTTATACTCGGTGCCACGGGCCAGAGGTTTTTTGTTTACCAGTGGTTGTCTTCTGACTTCTGATAAAAACAAGTAGGTAAAATCTTACGTAAATAAATCCGATTGTTTCGAATTGTGGGTAGTACAAACTCATTGAAATTACCTTTTACTTCAGAATTATGCATCTAATGTTGTAAAAAATCTAGTTCAGTCTATGTATTAAAGTGCCATTCAAAATTAATTTCCTAAAATAGAAAGAGCATATAGCTGTGGTACAGCACTTGTACCTACAACATATCCTGGTATTGGAATTGTCGTACAAAATCCATTCCATCTACGAAGATAGAGTAGGTAGGTAAAACGTGTTCAGTACTTGAATAATAATTCACGGATACGCAAAAACTGTACTTATGCCACTCGGGATAATAAACACATTAGCATATTAAACATAATTAAATTCAGTGCTCTTTACTTTACTCACTAGGGATGAAGCCGGCAGATATATCGTATTTAATAGAATAACTTTAATTCAACTTCACCTCGGTTTGTCCCACAGGAATAAACAGAAAACAACTAATAATACAAATATGTTGATCCGTTAGTTTACGCTCAGGCCGCTCCAGGCTTAGCTAAGGCAAAGTGCTGGATAATCTGTGGTTGGTGGTTCGCTCGGGTTTTATAAAGCTCACCATACATATTCCGATTCAGTGGATATTTCATGAGTGAATGCATTTTTGATTATGCATTCCGATTCATTTAAATTTATTGACACTTTTCAGAGTAGGCATCTATTTATTTATTTACTCTAACAGTTCGGTTCAATTCACCTAATTATACCTACGTAACGTTGTCGTGCTTATCATAAAAAGTACTCAAACACCTTTGCCCAAAGGAATGAATTATAGTTTTACACACATATTTGTCAAAGTTCCTAAACAAATATGATTTTTTTTCTTAACTCCTGGGCACATTTTTCGCGAAAACTAAAGGAACACTGCGTGTTGGTATTTTGTGCTGTTGTTGTTTAATAAAAAAAGAAAATCCATGATGTATAAGTATATAATCCATATGAATAATATTAAACCAGGGGCTTACCCCAGGTAGGTATCAAATTAATATTATATTTATGCTATGTTAAGACTTCGTCACTTGAAATAAGTCGCTGTCTGGTACATTCGAGCAGATCATTAATCAATCACAACATAACTGAAAACATCGCCGTTGGAGTTTCCTTCCTCTAACTCCAGGCCTCAGAATTTTGCAATTCCCATTTAAAGTTTTGGATTGGATTACTTATCTTCACTCAAACGTACAGTTCGATCATAAATGTAAATAGCTAAGTGCCCTAAAATTAAATACTTAGGCATTAAAAGGTTAAAAGGTTTTCAACATATTTAAGCTGACATAAAAGGTGAATTATGAATTGCTATTTTAAAATTACTGAGGAATATTTGTTATTAAATAAGGATTCAGTAGAAATTATAATAAGTTGGTTCTAAGAACATAAAATTGAGGATTGTTTAATTTGAATCGTATTGGATTTGTCAACCGTGAAATGGTCTAATAATTAATTTATGATTCTTAATCCAAGAAATAAACTGGCAACCCTGAGATACGCAGTACGAATAAAAAGAAATGTCTACATTCGTGTTTCGATGTACAACAAAACGAGGATTTTTAATTTGGTCGACTAACTCGTTCAATTACAGTAAACTGTCAAAAATGTAAACACAAACGTGACAAAAGTCAAAACAAAACAATCGGTCATGTCATTCATTTCTCTGAAATTCTCTGTGAGCCGGCGGTGTGTGGCAGTTTTAAATGTCAGGAAATATTTGTGTAAAATCGGTGAAATATAAACGGACGCGGTGAATGATAAAATAGGAAATTCCGTAAAATGTACGATATTCGACGTGCATTCTGTTTATTGTTTTTAATATTTTCATTGGATAAAGTGGACCTATTGGAAAATGGGTTGGCTCGCACTCCTCCCATGGGGTGGATGTCATGGGGATATTATATGTGTGGAGTTAAATGTGAGGATGGCGAGGACAAATGTTTAAAGTAAGCATTCCGTAATCATACCATTTTCTAAAGAAAATAGCTCTGAGATTCTGGCTCATTTGTTTACGTGTTTACAAATTCATATGTAACTATGTTGCACAGGTAATAAACAAGCAATAAACGTGTATGCTCCGTAATAAAGTACTTCGATAATGTCGATTGTAGAACTTTATTTTTGAATCAATTCAAACTGCTTATATTTTTGTTTTCATTAACAGTACTACTGTATTTGAAATATACATACATTGCATTTCGAGAAATACTCAAAACAAGTACCTATATCTATCTACTATCTTAAATAGTTGCTACTCATATTCTTATTAATTGATAATTTCTTTGAATTGCAGTGAACAACTAGTATTATCCGTAGCGGACAGTTTTTACAAAGATGGCTACCAGGAAGCAGGGTTTGAATACATCATAATTGATGACTGCTGGTCTGAAAAGCATCGGGATAGGAATGGAAGGCTTGTAGCTGACAGAAAGAGGTTTCCACGAGGAATGAAGTTTATTGCTGATTATGTATGTATAATTTAACATTTCCGCTGTTGAACTGTGGGTCTCCTGTACATAAACAGGTGTGATGTGCTATAATTTTCATGCTTGGTACGTAAGTAGAAAACTGCAGTTTAAATGGATAGTTTTTCCGAAACTGCTGCTACCCATTTTATGTCAAATATGTAGTCTCTCTTAGTTGTCTCAACGACAACTGCAACTTGGCTCTTATGTCACCCACCAAAAGAAAATTAAACACAAACTGTAACCTAACCGGTTTGTGATGCATTTTTAAGGTGGGATAATCATGGAACGACTGCTCCCGCCTGGAGTGTCAGACTCTTACTGACTAAAAACCACCCCTTTCCATCTCCTGCACGTCGAGCCAGATCCCCGGTAACCCGTTAGGTTCTCCGCGACGTTTGTGATGCATTCATATTCAACACGTTTACCACATGGCTAAATAAAACCTTATATATTAAGCCTGTGTAATTCATCTGTCTGAGAACGTAATTTATCAATGTTTCAGATCCATGCTCGAGGTTTAAAGTTTGGCATGTACACCAATGTAGCAAATATCACATGTATGAGATACCCAGGGTCTCTGAGTCACATGGAGCTGGACGCTAAGACATTCGCAGAGTGGGGAGTAGACTACTTGAAAGTGGATGGATGCTTTGTATCTGAAAACATTCTGAATGAAGGTGAGTTTGTAATTCTTAAGGTAATGAAAACTATACTTGCAAGCAAAGAGGCAAGTAGCATTTTTTCTTTATCATTGATGAATATTTTTTGATACAAGTATTTTATTAATTGGTAATGTGTGTCAAATAAAAGGCAATTTAGTTACTTTTAAAATGAAAGCATTTTGTTGTAAAACGAATATTATGTTCTGAAGTTATAGAGAGTTCGATAAAATGAAAAAAAAAAGGAACACTGATGGCTTCATTTCTTTGCTCCCAAGAGTTTTATTGCCATGCTTATTTTTAAACATTGCCTCGACATATTAAAAAGGTATAACCATAATGTTAAACAGTTTGTAACTGATTATCAACATACTGGAGAGTTAACCTTGAGAGAATATTTTTACTATAGGTACTTATAAATATGTATGTACTTGAGTACTGAATAATTTTTATCTAGGTGAGTGGTCACATCCTCAGAATAATCAGAATTCTGAGTAATTGTAGGGAGTGCCATAATCTATCATTGCATAGATATGTTGCACCTGTCACAGAGCTAGGTAATCATTACATGTCTAGGGAATATGAAGAACTGGAGTGTTTATTGAAGGAATTTCTCTAGAACTGAACATTCACTGTCATGTGCAGTAGACAGCAAGTCAACCTACACTTTTCTGTCAAATTTCTTTATTAGATTTTTAACTCTATCGGTTAGTTTTAAGGTCGAAAATACAATGACGAAAATAGACACATTGCAGTAGGTTGATGTGCTGGACACTGCTATTTACATGCGTAAAATATAATGCTGCTATATGCCTGAGATGACACCACACACCGGAATATGAATATCTACTCTCACATACTTCATTATAGACTTTATTTCCGAAGTTTAGAGACTACTTTTATATGAACAAGTTTGGTTATTAAATATGAACATAGATATGAACTAAAAATTGCGGGTTAATCACGTGACTGCTAGGTAGGCTGCGCGACATCGCCGCAACCGCGCACTCTGCCCATGACATGAGGAAGAACCCCTCTGTGGTTCGAAACTAGTAGAGCTTTTCTCAGTATATTCATGTGCGTAACCCGCAATTTTTTAGGTTATTAAGTTTATCTCTCATAAATGCTTTGTTAATTTTATTGTAAATACCGACGTACATCTAAAAACTCAGTGATGACCCAAAAACTGATTTTGAAAAGGCTGATAGAAATAATATCTCAAACTAGTTTCTACCAACGCCTTCATCCGCGATCCTGAGAAATAAAAAGTAGCCTATGTGTTACTCCATTTCATAATCTACTCCTGTTCCAATTTTATTCCGATCCCTTTAGCCGTTTTGGCGTAAAGGAGTTTACAAATAAACATACAAATTTCGTATTTATAATACATATTAGTAGGATTAAAGATTTCTTCATACTCAATAGTCAAAACTTTTTTTAGCTATATTATAAGTTTCGTGAGACATACTAAATGAATCAATTATAATGTTTTCGACATAATAATTACTCAAGGCTATTGTTTTTTATCATAATAGAGTAAATTGTGTTTGTTAGATCATTCATCGTGTGTTACACATTGATGTCATGAAATATGTAAATAGTTAAACGATGCATGATCCAATAACAATGTTTTACTATAAAACTTTTATTGTTGTGGCCTAAATAATTTCGAGGACTGCTGATAAATATTATTACACTATCGAGTTTGTTCCAAGGTTTACTAGAATTAATGCATTTTTCTTCTGCGTAGTATGCGTGAAATCAGTAATTATCGATGTCACAGGTACTAGTAGACTAGGCCAATCAATTTACGAAGGTGAAATTAAAACTACATGCTGTTAACAGTCGATCATGATTAAAAGTAGGAACTTTATTTGTTATGTAACCTAAACAAATTTCCAGGTAGATATCTCTCTCTGCGATAGGGCTTTATATCTTCTTCTTCTTCTATAATATGTATAAAAATCAATCGCCAAATATGTTGTTATGCGCAAATTTCAAGAACAGGTGAACTTATTTCGCCATTTCTTTTTTGTTGGGTTCGGTATTGACAGGAGAAGGTTTTTTTTTTGTAAGAACAAATTAACAAAGATGTGCAGATTTTTTTTCTAGGCGAAACATAGTTCGCCACGTCCACTGGTTGCACACATAATCATAATTATGATTGTTATTCACTTTACGGCAGGTAATCTTAACTCTAAAACGACTTCACGGTTGGTGCGGTGGCCGGGCAAGCAGATGCTGTGCAACGTGTCGCGGGTTTAATTCCCGCACGGAACAACTCTTTGTGTGATCCACAGATTGTTGTTCCAGGTCTGGGTGTCATGTGTATGTGAACTTGTATGTCTGTAAACGTACCCACGACACAGGAGAAAATCCTAATGGGGAGCAATATTTTTTTTAAGAAATCAAAATAAATTATGACAGCTGTTTAATTTCATTTTCCAGCTTACATAAAACTGGGTAAATATTTGAAGAAGACTGGTAGGCCCATGGTGTACTCGTGCAGTTGGCCGTACTACATACAATATATTCATCAGCAACAAGTAAATATTGTTTTTACAACCTACATACTTATATCACATTTGCAAAATATCAGTGTTGCTATTTTGGGATTTGGCAATTTATCCCGAAAGAATGAGACATCATGAGGAAACCTGGAACAATTTCAATTATATGTAATACATAAAAGTATTTTTATGTTCAACGGTTTTAATGTAAGTAAGGGGGTAAATTTTCGATTACTTATTTTGACCCAAACAAACAAACGAGGGAGGCTAAACAAATCCGTTTAATGAGTTAAAAATCGCCGATCCGCCTGGAGCAAGCGTGATGATTAATACTCATACCTTTTCAGTGAGAGAAGAGGCCTTTACTCAGCAGTGGACACCTATAGGCTGTTGATGATGGGGATGAATAATATCTCCTGAGTAGTTTGCCAAACTGACCTTTTGACTTGAAGTTAATACTGTTACAGCCGGATTACGAAGAGATAGCTCGGTACTGCAACCTGTGGCGTAACTACCACGACGTGCAAACGTCCTGGGACGCCGTCGCGAACATCGTACGACACTACCGGAGTCATTACTACGAGCTCGCTCCAGTCCACGGTCCAGGACATTGGAACGATCCTGATATGGTATTTGCAACTTTATTGTTAAATTGTTAAATATGTTTTATATTTTTAATTATAAGCCGGTAAACGAGCGGACGGATCACCTGATGGCAGCATCAGCATCATAAGCAATCAACCAAGCACCTGGAACACCAGAAGCTTTACAAGAGCGTTACCGGCCTTTTGGGATTAGGAATTTGAGGATTGTTGGGGATTCAGGGTAAGGGGAGCGGGATAATTAGGCCTCCGATAATCACACGACGAAACAACGCAAGCGCCTCGTCTACAACAAACAACTCGTCTGTTTTTAAGTTACAATAATCTGTTGCATTAAACAACTTTATTAAAAAGTACCTATTATTTTTTTCTACTTTCAGTTAATATTCGGTACGGGCGTGTTAACACACAGTCAGTGTCGCGTACAACTGACTGTATTCGTGATGATGTCCGCTCCACTACTGCTCAGCTGTGATATGAAGAAAATCACGCCTTATGAGAAGTCACTGCTACAGAATTTGGACCTTATGGCCATTGCACAAGACCCATTGGGTATTATGGCTGAACCTCACCATGTAAGTTTATTATTGTTCCTTTATTTATTTTCAGGGTAATTATGGGTTAGGTGGCAAACGCGTGATCACTCGATAGAAAGCGATTGATGCCCATGGACACTCCAGAAGAGTTTCGGAGTTGCGGACGGCCTAACGGGTTACCGGGGTTCCGGCTGTAAGCAGGAGTAGAAGTAAGAGTCTGACAGTCCCTCTCGCCTCACCCAAGGTGGTAGAAGTCATTGGATGAATTCCCCTACAAAAAAAAAAACAAAGAAGGGTTATAAATGTGATGGTAATCGTTTAAATGGCATTACGTTCTGTTCTCGAAGAAGGTTACCTATCACCAAAAAGGTTCTAATTTTGTCGACGATTAATAAAATATGTTTTTACGTATTTCAGATAAGATACGTAAGTAACTAGTAGTAATGTTTTAACACGACCTCTAGTGACTTTAATCTATACTTTAAGGCTTTCCTAGGGGAATTGGTTATTATATAATTTTCTTGAGTGCAATGGGTACTGTTGAGGAGTTTACTAGATTTGTAGGTATTATGTCTTTACTGTTATAGTGTGCATCTTAACATTAACTCGTCGAGTACCGTCAATACAGACACAATAGGTTGCGGTCACCGGTGACCGCTTGGTGTTTGACAGTTTAAACAAATCTGTCGACTTTGTTTAGCTAACACTTTGTTTATTTGCATGAAACCACGGGCTTTAAGGGGGGAAAATCATCGAATGACTGCTCCCGCCTGGGTGAGGCGGGAGGGAGTGTCAGACTCTTACTGACTAAAAACCACCCCGTTCCTTCTCCTGCACGTCGAGCCAGAGCCCCGGTTACCCGTTAGGTTCTCCGCGACAATTATAGAACAATAGGTTGCGGTCACCTGTGACCGCTTGGTGTTTGACAGTTTAAACTATGTCCTTGCTTTTAAACAATGCAAAATATTGATGATGATTAAGTTACTAAGCTATGAAATCTTTATGTATATAATTCTTCTGTGAGTGTGTATGTCACTGAACTTCTCTCAAACGGCTGGATCGATTTTGATGAAATTATTTGTGTGTGTTCAAGGGGATCTGGGAATGGTTTAGATTCACAAATCAGCCCGGCAGATAGCGCTGCAGTCGGTATTTAGGTTATTTATCGATAGCTATTATTGTATTATTATTATGTTATATACAGGACAACGTCTGTCGGGTCCGCTAGTCTATGTATATAAAAATGAAACCCGTTTCCCGTTGTCACGCCATAACTAGAGAACGGCTAGACCGATTTGGCCGATTATTTATTTTGTTGTGTTTGATATCGTCAGGAGAAGGTTCTTATGAACGAAAAAAGTCCTGAAAATCCTACGGGAATGGGAGAAACGGGATTGCGCGTACGAAGTCGCGGGCAAAAGCTAGAGTTAAGTAAATGTTAAGGATTTAAAAAAAATTGCCCAGAATCTAGTGGAACCTATAAGTGGCCACTGTTGGGATCTTTATATATATAATTCTTCTGTGAGTGTGTATGTCACTGAACTTCTCTCAAACGACTGGACCGATTTTGATGAAATTTTTTGTGTGTGTTCAAGGGGATCTGGGAATGGTTTAGATTCACAAATCAGCCCGGCAGATGGCGCTGCAGTCGATGTTTAGGTTATTTATCCTAAACAGCTGAACTAATTTGAATGAATTTTTGTTTATACATTCAAGTGGATATGCAGGACAACGTCTGTCGGGTCCGCTAGTATAATATAATCTATTATTTTTCGCAACTACCTCCATTATTGGTATCAAACGAAAAGGCTTAATTGGCAGAATATAGCTCATTAAAACAGTAACCGTACTTGTTTTTAAGTCGGGTGATTTGTGTGTAATTATTTATTCGTAATATGGAAACTACTGAACAATTTTCTTCTTTCTGTCGTTTTAACCTTTAAATGTCCTCTAGGTAACAGATTGCACGCTCTGGATAAAACCCCACCTGCCTCGCAAGGGGGATCAGTTCCCGTCATACAGCCTCGCCGTCATGAACCTGGACTCAGACGCCAGCCACGTGTCCTTCAGACTGAATACATATAACCTCAATGCTACTGATGGATATACTATATTGGTAAGATTTTATTTATATTTCTTGATATCTCATAAATAACTTGAGCAGCCTCAGCACCCTCAAAAGTAGGGTATAACCTGGGTGTCTTCAACGCCCGTGTGAATAGGTTGCTTATGAGACGACATGCTCCACGTAGACCGCATCATCGCTTACCACCAGGCGAGATACTGGCCAAACGTGGGCACATCTAAACTAATATTAGAGGAATGATTTGTACCTATTTTTGTATGTTTGTAATGAATAGGTTCAAAAAGTACTGGGCCGATTTAAAAAATTCTTTCACCAATAGAATGCTACATTAACAATTACAAAAATTAGTCTTAAAATGTCTTTCGTCGAATGCGCTGCCGAAACTATTAGCGATAGAACAAAATAATGTACAACAATATTGAAGAACATCATAATGTCTACAAAAAACTCCGCGGTAGCATATGCCCAACTATTATAGTTATGTCACTACAACAATCCAAATTTCCAAAAATAAATAATTGTCTACCCCGTGCGAAGCCGGAACGGGCTGCTAGTCAAGTATAAACAAAATTAAGATTAAAAAAACCTAACTCCAATCTGCTTTCAACTTGCTATAATGGCATAGTACTCTTAAACAGGACATTTTAGTATATTTAAAATAAGTTTAACTAAATTAATTCTAGTAATGTTATAAATTTGTTAGTTTGTTTGTTACTACTTCACGTCAAAACGGCTGAAGGGATCGGGATGAAATTAAAAACAGGGGTAGATTACGGTGTGGAATAACACATAGGCTACTTTTTTCCCCACGGAAACGCGGACAAAGCCGCGAGTAAAATCTAGTATCCTAATAATGTTATTGATGAATCTTAAACCAAACATTAAAGCATTTTTAAGTATAGTTTTAGATATAAATCGACACTAGCGCCACTTAAACGAAATTTCAATTTGGAATTTACTAAACCTACCAAACTAATTAAACAATACGTATCAGCATATTGCAAGCACACACATACATAGTTCCCATGTACATGACTACATTATGGTACCTACATTGGGTGCTTATCTACTACGCGCAGGGAAAGGTGCATCGGCAGCTCAGCACGGTTCATTACACTAATGAATGCACCGGTATCTACCTATACTTATGCACTTTCGAACTAAGGACCACTAGGAGCATATCATCCGATATTACACCGTTAAAACTTTGTGATGATTTTCTTTAAACTTTGTGAACATTTTAGATTAAGTTTAAAGTTAAGATCGGGCACGATATGAATTAAAGATTCAGGTGATTCGACAGAGAACTAAAGTCACCGACGTAGCCCAAAGGATTAGAAAGCTGACATTGCAGTGGGCCGGTCACATTTGTCGAAGAATCGATGACCGTTATGGTAGAAATGTTCTAGAGTGGAGATCGCGTCTAGGCAAATGTAGTGTAGGGCGACCTCCAGCTAGGTAGAATGACGATAACCTCAGAGTGGCTGGTAGTGTTTGAATGTGTAGATCGAGCTTAATGGCGCGCCATTGGAGAGGCCTATGTCTAGCAGTGGACGAAAACAGGCTGTCGATGATGATGAATTAAAGTGAATTTAGAGGTCATCTTAGTTTTTTATGATCTAATGAAAATATGATAAGTAGGTATTAATATAATCGGTTCACTATCGCGTCTGACATCGACGAAAACGATAGATGTCGAAGATAGTACGTTCTTATTTGAAGTCTTGGGCTAAACTTTGAACTTCTTAGTGATAGAGAACTAGATATTTTAATATTGGCCACTTGCTAATCTACTTGTGAGAAAAGGATTGATCGTTTATTTACATTTATAAGCTCCGAAATCAACAGACCGATTTGTAAATTAATTTCTCCAAAGATTTAATGAATTTCTTAAAAATCTTCTTGCAGAGGTTGTATAACTTTTTATCCCGATATTTCCACATTATCTGCACCATTTCGAGAGAAATCTTTTAAATAATAAAAAAAACAGAACCAACTTACCAACTTACTAGCTAGGGCTCCTCTCACTAGAGCTATGAGAGTAGTGAACGAAGTCCATGAAAGGGTGGATGTATTGTGTTGCAATGTGAGTGAATTCGTAAAAGTTACGTTGTATATATTATGTTATTCAAATGTTAATTAAGATTATTATTTCATTTCATTTTTTTTTTTATTATTGTTATTTAGTAAGTAGTTCACCGATGATCTCGTGACCATAAAGTCGTCAGTATTATCTCTTTTTTTATGGATAAATGTTAAGATTAATTAAGTTTGTGTATGCATATGTATTAGTAATTAGGCACATAGATTTAGTTTTAGACCTAAGCTATCGCAATGGAGAAAACTGTAATGATAGTTTTAGGTAAGGTTTTAAATAAATAAATAAATAAATAAATAAATAAATAAATTCAACACAGACTGAACGCTAGTAGGTACTTTATAAAATCACAGATTAATGTATAAAGTCCTGTAACTTTATAAAAATGCAATTATTTTTATCCACAATAACCTATCTGTAATCTAGCGAGCCAATCAGATGTGTAATTCCCTTGGGCGCCGAGCTGCCGATAATGTGGTTCGCGTCGAAGATAGCTTTATTACGAAACCACAGATAATACATTAGCATTTATATTAGACATTCTAGACTTTTCTAGAATAATCTAGAGATAGTCAGCTTTTTACAGACACATAGGTTGCTAAAATCGTAAGAGAGAGGCCGTATTAAGGGGTACGTCTGTTTTAGGCCGTGGATTGACGTCTGCCCACCAAATATGATTATTACTGAACGTCTTAACTGATTCCACGGTTAATACTCTTGACAAACACTATGGTTATTTTATTATTGACGCGGGTGAATGGTCGCGAGTCGCGACTGCTACACTGAAGTACTTAGTACTTTAAAATTTTCTACTGCTACTAGACTGGAGTCGACCAGTAAAGCAATCATTACGTAGTTTCTATAAACTAAAGGTATAGCATGCTAATTTTGAGCAACATTCCACCACACATGCTAGTAAGTGACAAGTGCTCAATTGAAGTATGCCTTTATGCTTGAAATTAGAATGTGTAACATTGTTGGGCATAGTCCACTGTACCAGGCAGTTAAAATATTTAATAGACTGCCACTTGAATTAAAAAGTATTCTGTACACAAGCTCGTTCAAAACTAGGCTCAAGGCATTCCTGTTGGAGAAATGCCTCTACTCTGTAGATAACTTGTAAAACACAGGACTGGATTTTTTAATTTTGAATATTGAACATTACTTTTTTTTTTTTAATTTTGAATTGTTATTTAATGATTGATTTGGTTCTGCCTTGTTTTTGGGTACCTTTTTGTTTTTGTTTTTTCTTTGACATTGTTGATGATAATTCTCTGTTGACATTTATAATTACCTAGTTTGTATTAATATTGATCTTTTTTTTGACATTGATAGTAGATTTGATTTTATGACATGTATTATATTGTATTGTATTGTATTGTATTGGGTATACTTATTGAACAGTGTATCAATGTATTAATGTAGTTGTGTCACATAAATTTTGTCGTTATGAGATCAGTATCTTAACAACAATTTTAATTGTAATTCGATTTAAGAAATGTGTTGTTTTTTTTTCTTTTTGTACTACTTGTGTTATTAGTTTTAAGCTTTAATTCACACACAATGTAAATTGTTTTTGAAATAAATAAATAAATAAAAAAAAATAAAAAACCTTAATATAAGGCATATGTTACAAAAAATCTAATAGGGATCAGTCTCATAAAAAGTCCTGATTACTGGCTCCATCCATTGTACACATTTTTAATTTAATTTTTTTTTCTTTATAATTTTATGGTCTGCAATAATGTGCAAATCACTACGTAGTATAAAACAAAGTCGCTATCCGCCGTCTGTCTGTCCCTATGTATGCTTAGATCTTTAAAACTACGCAATGGATTTTGATGCGGTTTTTTTAATAGATAGAGTTATTTTTAAGGAGGGTTTATATGTATAATACATGCATATTGCACCCGTGCGAAGCCGGGGCCGGTCGCTACTTCTTAACTAAGCATAAAACAATTATAATTCAGAACCTAAATTACAAATGACCCATACCTATACAAGTCATTGTGAATTAGACATTATGGCGTACGATTTAAGACTCAATTTTGTTTCAGGACGTGTTCTCGGGCAAGTTCATTCGAAACGTGACGTATGACGATAAGATTGAAGTCACTGTGCCGGGATTTGGTGAGTGATAGAAAATTTTTTACATAGACATATACTGTTAAAAGATATTCTACTTTATTGTTATTGAAATAAAGTCGAAATTCTATTGATGAACATAGGCTAGCAATTCAAGCTACTGCGGTGTGATTTTCAACCTTATGCTTATTTTAATAAAGTCGGTTTAGAGCAAATTGATGTGCAGATGTTTAGCACGTAAAAAAAGTCTGGTAGGATCATAAGAATGGTCAGAACCGTGTTAACAATGATAGTAAATTGAGCTGCAAAACATGAAGTTTTATGTTCGATTCCTGGGTCGAGCTTCTTAGGGGTTTTGCTTTATCACAGTTACAAGTAGACTCAAAAAATTAAAATTTAATTTCAATAATCCTTTTGTTGGTTTAAATAAACTAACTCTCTCTAGTAAGGTATAGGATACTAGAGCTAGATCTCTGCCCATCCTTTCAAATTATATATGCCATGATAATATAAAAAAACCGGTTTTCTCATTTCAGATGTGATTTTATACACCCTGTACCCGCTTTAATATCGCTAACACTGATGGGACAGTACCATCCACACAAATATCAACTTTACATCTAAAGAAATAAAGTGCAATTTTAAAGGACAATAACTAAGTGAGTGATTTTGATATTGGATAAAGAGCTTTATGTGGTTGGACTTTAAGGCTGTTTTAAAACAAACGTGAGTGTATGTGGACTATGTATCTGCCGTTATTATGTACTTAATTTTCAAATGGTTGCCGTCCAAATGTGAAAAACATTAGTTTTAATTTTTTTTGTAATAAATTCCTAAATATTATACTAAAATAATTTTGAAAAAGTTGACCGAGTGGGCACAAGTGCGACTGCCGGGCAAGGAGCCCCGGGCAACGTATTACCGGGTTTATTAAAAAAAATCTCAGTAGTAGCACTGAGTCTGGAATTGTGCCCGGTATGTGGCAATAGGCTCACCCCCTATTTACGTGGGACTCATAACATAAATATTAAAAAGTGGGTGTTACATTGTACAGGGCATTAAGGGCCGTAATGTGCACTTCTGCCTATCCCTTCGGGGATAAAAGGCGTGATGATATTTATGTAATTCAAAAAATAAGTCAGAAAAGGCAAAACCTAAGTTTCAAATTAAAATAATCATTATTACTTTTAACTACGAAATTATCTCTATACTACGAGTAAAACAACAAACAAGAACTAGTGCAATATTTATAACTGTAAAACTCAAATTCCTCTAAACCAAAGACTAGCCGAAGAAGCTCCAATATTAAACCTAATACTCTAAGTAGTACGGTTGATAATGCTTTGACGTTAGTGTCACAAAGTAAAGAGGCTACGTCAATAAGAGAGTCGTTCTAAAGAGGTTCGAGGTTTTACTCAGGAGGTCAGACTTACTTGACGTATGTTTTTTATATTTTTAAACTCTGTGGTATAAAGTTGAAGCTAGATTCTATCTAAGTCCTAACGGCTGTTTTCACCAACCACCCCCTAAATGTCACCTATCTTTCTAGGAGTTCCTTAAAATTTAAGAGACTTTGGTTAATATGGTGGCCCGGAGGTTAAGACACCCGCTACTCTTGCATAAGGGTGCAGTTTCGAAACCTACCAACGGCGAGTACCAATGTGACCTTTTCCGAGTTATATGTACTTTCTAAGATTATTTAGATGCTACTGATAAACGGCGAAGGAAAACATCGTGGCTTACAATTTCTAATTATAAGTTTGAAATCGCGAACCCGCATTGAGCAAGCGTGGTGATTATTGCTCAAACCTTCTGCGTGTGAGAAGAAGCTTCTTGTCAGCAGTGACCGCTTACAGGGTGTTGATATTGGTGATATGTTTGCAATAAGGTACCTCTATACTTACCCCTTGTGTGGGGTATAAAACATAATAACCGATTGTTCAGTGGCCAGCACATCAACCGACTCCAGTATGTCTGTTTTTGTCATTGGATTTTCGGTTTTATATCTAAACGATAAAGTTCAAAATCTAATAAAGAAATTTAACAGAAAAGAGTACATTGACCTGCTGCCCACTGTACTTACATACCTCCAAGTGTTTCAAACACTATTAATTTATTATGCATTTATTTTAATTAGCGAATTGTATTAGTTGCAAAGATTAACGTTCGAATACTGAAAGGCTACTCAATAAGTTGTACTTAATTAAATATCGTCCCATCTCTGTCATTTTACAACGAATTTGTAGTTAAAGAACTACACTTAAGCGCGATCTAAAATTGAGTGACGTTTGAGTATTTGGACATAAGAATGTTTTAATTTAAGTAGGTTTTAGTTAATGAGTCTTTAAGTACTCGAAAAAAAAAATAAATCGATACCATAATAATTATGTACATATGCATGTCGTGGTGGCCCGGAGGTTTAAGACCTTCTTCTCTTCTTCTTATGCTCTAGAGCGCTGGTTCAAAACCCACCAACGGCAAGCACCAATGTGGCTATTTCCGAGCTATATGTACTTTCTAAGATCATTTAGACACCACTGACAAACAGTTAAGGAAAACATCGTGGCTTATATTATAGTTTGAAATCGCGAACCCGCATTGTGCAATCTTGGTGATTAATAATTTAACCTCCTTTGTGTAAGAAGAGGCCTTTAGTCAGCAGTGACCGCTTACAGGGTGTTGATATTGATAATATGTTTGCAAATGATAAAATTAGTTCAATAGGGTAGTTTCCTAAATTTTATTTTAATGTCCGTCTGGTAGATTATTTTAAAACATTAGACACGTATTTTTTCTTTTCTCACAAAATTAAATGTTATGACGTAACTACCTCCCACTCCTAAACTTAACACCATTTTATTTAAGTATAGCTGTGCCCGCGACTTCGTTCGCGTAGAATAGTGACTATGAGCAGCGTTTTTTTTTAAATATATACTTATTTTTATTTTAGATTTGGATCATAATCACAGTCATTTTGGGTAGCTAAAAAACCTACTTTACTGTAATGCTTCTCTATATACAATATTAGACGTATGGCCATCGGGGGTGAAAGCATACAGGCTGCTGGGATTGCTAACACGGGACAGAGCCACATACAATTGACCGTGCGAAAAACAGCTGATACTTAGATCTATACCCACAACTTTTAGAGTCTGACCTTGAGCTTTATTAATTGTCATGGCGAAACATAGGCTCACTGGAAACTGAATTCGTTTAAAATTAAACGGAAAATTTTTTGGAATGAGAGGAATCTGAGGAATAAAACCACTATCACCTTTTCCGCACCCTGTTAAATATATATATATTTATAAGCCATTTCTGAGATTAGCGTGAACAGACAAACAGACAAACAGACAAAAAAAAAGTTAGTTACATTTTTGGGTTCGACATCGACATAACAATAGCCCCTGCTATTTTTTTTATTTTTATTTTCAATGTACAGACAGCACTTTTCTACAATTTTATTATATGTATAGATAGATAGATAGATAGTGTTCGACGTGATTCTTTAATTTGACGTAACTTTTTTATTTATGAACCGATTGACATGAAACGAACACTAAAGCATAACTGAAGCAGACCACAATATATTCGTGAAAACCGCATCCAAATCGGATAAGCCGTTTCTGAGATTAGCGTGAACAGACAAACAGACAAACAGACAAAAAAAAAGTTTGTTACATTTTTGGGTTCGACATCGACATAACAATAGCCCCTGCTATTTTTTTATTTTTATTTTCAATGTACAGACAGCACTTTTCTACAATTTTATTATATGTATAGATTGTAACTTTATACGAGAAAATAAAAAAATACATGTCTAATATTTTTTCATTATCTAACTGACGGACTAATTAGATTTTAAATTTTCTTACCCTGGAAACTTCCCTATTATACAGAATATGCTCTTGAAATAAAATGTTTGTTCATCAATAAGCTTGGTTTTTGGGTAGTAACATAGGATACGTTTAATCCGGATATTCTATGGGTAAGAGGTGGGGCTTACATAATAATAATTCTTTAATCGATTTCAAAAAAAGAAGGATGTTCTCAGTTTGACCTGTATGTATGTTTGTGCGTGATTATCGATTGGTTGATCTGATTTTGAGGTAGTGTTCAGAAAATTTGTAACAAACAATTTTCAGTTGTGAATGTCAGTTTTTTTAGTATTTTGTGAAGTTAGTTAATTAATATACTAAAACTGAAAACCTCTTTCTTTTTCGAAGTTGGTTATAAGGTGTTTCTATTCAAAAGGTACAATATACTGTCAATTTCGTCGATATACTTATCCTAATTTGGCTATTTTAATTTCAAACGTTATTTCTTTTGTTTTAAAGTCGAAAGTCTATTGAAGGTAGATGTATGAACGTATATAGTCTACATCATGATTCACAAACATTGTGATATTAATTGTATGTTTTTAAGTTTATGTGTACTTAATGTGATTCTTGCTCAAATTGTGGCAAATAATAAAATTTTAAAATAAATTCCTGGATTTCATTTTATTACCATGTTATAACTGTAACTAACTAACTATATATCTTTGGATGGCGAACCTCATTCGTATGTTCATGATAATTGTCATAGCACTGAAGTGAAAAATCAGATTTAATATAAAATATCTTTTTTTTTTATGACGGGGGAATCCTTCAAAAGACCTAGCCTTTTTGGGGATAAAAGACTAGGGAGTGTGGTATTTTTACCTCACTAAAACTACCCCGGTGGCCACCCTTAACACCTGAATGGAGGCACAGGTCCTCTAAAAGAGACCTGCTCTGACACATCCCTAGGTAATATAAAATACCCAGTTCCAATAACTTACAAATGATTGCCCATTACCCATGTAAAAAAAATTGTAATATAACTGCCGAAATGATTCCAATATTTCCAGTTTTTTGTACTGTCACGTACATATCTAATGCTGCTAAATTATTTACATATGTAATCATAACATTTGTATATCGCGACATGTGATGAGATTCCAACAGAATCATGTCGTGCCTATTTATGATTTTAAACATGCATACTAACTACATAATTACACGTATTGTTTAAAAATGGTAAATTCATGTCATTTGGTACCTGTTTAATGCTTTGGGGATAATGAGTATGCCAATAAACTACCAATTTAATAACGAAGTGATTATTTATTCCGTTAACTGCGACCACAAACGATCTTTATTTCGTCAATATCTTAATGGCGAATCGACTAATCACTCTCGTTACGAGTACGTAGGTACTGTCATCAACCTATATAAAATGACTTTCTTTGTAGGAAAAGTTCAGTAGAGAAAGATAGAGGTTGAAATGCGGCTGTCATTGTTGTTGCTCGCCGTTTGTATCGCTCGTGGCGTCCACAGTCTGGGCATACTCGACGACATCATCGGAGTACCGGGCAAGTTAGTGGACCAAGCCGGCGGCCTCTTAAATGGATTCCTCGGGGGTAACAACGGAAACAGAAACATATGCAACCGCAATGTATACCAAGATTACAGTAAGGCCGTTACCTCCTTCCAACACAAACTATATACCAGTGTGGCCGCCCGAGGTAACGATCACTTCGTATTCTCTCCACATACGATATGGCTTTCTCTATCAGCTCTAGCCGAAGGAGCTGACCTTTCAGTCCAAAGACAAATCTTTGCTTCCCTCCATCTGCCCGAGGAGAACTGTATCCGCAAAAAGTTCTACGAAATCGCCGTCAATGTTGAAAAGTCTGGACGAGATGTAATCTTCGACCGGCGGCGGATCTTACTGCTGGACGAAGATCTCAAGGTGAACCCTTCATGGGGCCAGACAGTGAAAGCCCTCGGCCTGCTCAAAGCAGGGTTTGCTTCAATCAAGAACAACCCGAGACAGACGGTACAACGCGTGCGGAAGTTTATTGGTACGCAGGCGAACATTCCTCTGAGCGGTAACTCTGTGATTCTTGACGCATTGGAGTACCAGGGGCTGTGGACGACTGCTTTCCCTGAGGCCGATATACAGAGACAGCCATTCTACGACGAACGAGGCCTGATTATTGGTAATGTGGATATGATGCACATTCGGAAGAGAGTTCGGTTGGCTCAAGCGCCGGTCTTGGGTGCTAAAGTGGTGGAGCTGCCGGTCGGTGTCGACGGTCGGTACACGATGCTGATCGCTGTGGGCATCGGCAACAATGTCCTGAGGAACTCCATGTCAACGTTCATGGGCTCCATCTTGGAGGTATTCTCGCTGCTGCAGATGAGCTTGGTCCCGTTAGAAGTCGCTGTGCCGCGGTTTTCTATCTCCTCGGAGTTTGACATCCGCGCTGCGCTTGAAGATTTAGGCCTCAAATCGTTTTGGAGGGATCCTTTGGCTACCAAGTAAGTTGTGGAATTGTACTATTAGTTTGGCTCAGGATATTAAAATGTAGGCTCCGGTTCCAACCGGGTCTCGTGGCCTGTGTCAGTCGAAATACCTATTTGTGTACTAATTAACTGTGCGAAAAAACATCTGTGTAGGAACACCTGCCTCTTCGTATTACTATCGGTGCTCTAAACTACTAGTATTTAGTTATTTTCTATGGTATTTTATTTGAATGGGTATCTAAACATGTTTGTTTCATCGTAGTCTGACCTCATTCTCCAAAGGTCGCAGTTATTTTGATTTTATGTAACCTTTAACTTACATTATAGGTGACCTTTTTAATTGTACCTACAGCTTTGACATTTCATAGGTTAGAAATTAGCAAACGTGACACATACTATACATGTAAGACTTTTTTGAGCCTGAAGAGATCTTACTTATTGAACCGTAGATACAATCGACCACTTGGATTATTACAGAGCAAACAATAGCTAAACATAAACATTATTCTCTCTTTACAGATACGTATCAGAACCCTCAGCATTGCCTGGCAACTTTATTCAGCGTGTGTTGGTCAGCGTGGACAGTCGGGGCGTGGAGCCGCCTCAGAGACGATACGTCAATAACATCATAGGCAGGGGACAGGATTTCATTGTTGACAGGCCTTTCTTATTCGCACTGTTTGATACGGCGACTAGAACCTGTCTTTATGCTGGAGCTTACTCCAAACCTAACTTATCTAATTAGTTCCGAAAATATATTTAGTTTTCGGGCATTTTGTGTTGTTTTTCTTGTTCTTTTTAGGTTACCACAATGAATTACCTACTTAGATATTCCTAATACTGGTTTCTTATCTGTTTTATCTGGTCATTGATAGATATCTCGTCTTACGTTAAAATTCTTCAATGGATTTTAGACTTTATAGCGAAATTACTAGGTATGATTAGTGCAATCAATTGAATACCTTATGTCTTTCCGTACAAACATTATTTTTCAAAGGCTTCATAAGACATCGTTTTATTTAGGCGCCCATTGTAAAAATTCACTTAATAAAATCGTAGACAGCTCACAATATTCTAGAATAGACAAAATTTTGGAACGAAACAAAAACCTAATCCGTTAGTAGGTAGAACAAAGGCTTAAACTTGAATGTTTAATTAGTATCTGCCTCAAAATGGCGATGGAGCTAATTTCGTATTATTTCGTAGGCTGGACAACATTTCAACACGATTTTTCGTCAGTTCTTAACACTTAAATTTAATTAGTTCAACCTTCCGTTGTGTTAGGTGCCTACTGGGCTATGTACAGAGTATCGCTTCAAAAGAGAATGTTGAATGCTAATTAAAATTATTAATATAACATTTGTAGGTACTGTTTTTGTTGAGAGGGTATACCTTTTCACCAATTTCAGTGTACTGAATGTTCTTGTGCTAATAATTTATTACGTACGACTTCGTCCGCTATGTCGTGGTGGCTCGGAGGTTTAAGACGCCCTCTTCTCATGCATGAGGATGCAGGTTCGAAACCTACCAACGGCAAGTACCAATGTGACTTTTTCCAAGTTATATGTACTTTCTAAGATCTAGACACCACTGACAAACGGTGAAGGAAAACATCGTAAGCCGTGAAGGAAAACATCGTAACACCTGGGCTTATAATTTCTAATTATAAGTTTGTAATCGCCAATCCGCTTTGAGCGAGCCTGGTGATTAATGCTCAAACCTTCTCATTGTAGGAAGAGGATTTGCTCAGCAGTGGGCACTTATAGACTGTTGATGATCTTATAGACTCTTTAGTACACCAGCTACCTGCCAATAAAAGCTCCGTCAAAATCGGTCCAGCTATTTTAGAGATTAGTACCTAAGTGCAAATAAACAACAGACACAAATTGTAAAAATAGTTATTTTGGTGTATTTATTGGGTGTATATGTATTTATAACATACATTCATATTATGTAGCAATAGTGGTAATAAAAAGCGGTTATTTCAATATTATAGACTAGCTACTTCGCGCGGTTTCACACGCTCTGCTCAGCTCCTATTGGTCGTAGCGTGATGTTTTATAGCCTATATCCATCCTTGATAAACGCGCTATCCAACACAAAAAGAATTATTCAAATCAGACTTGTAGTAACGGAGATTAGCGCGTTCAAACAAACAAACAAACTCTTCAGCTTTATAATATTAGTAAAGATAAGATGAATGCGCTAATTTCAGAAAATATGAGTCCTTAGAAAAAGTATTTGATGCACCTGATCATTTTTGTGTTTATTGGCGACCTAATGCTGTATTCATTATAATATACTGTACTACGCTTGAGGATCTCTATCCTCATATCTACAGAGTCAAACTGTAGGACAAATAAAAAAATTCAACAGTCGGAATAAATAAGCGATCTTAATCTCACAGTTTTGGATTGATATCGATATTTTAATACCTAATAGTTATATGTAGTTTCTGTTTTTATTGCAATACAGATGATGTAATTAATAAAACTGCTATAATTTGGAACTCGTCGATTATAATATAGGTATAATAATTAGGTACTTTCCTTAATAAAAAATAATTATTTCGACTCTTCAATACAATTAAATATTAAAAAATGATCACACTTTCATTCATTGATTTTATGATTTGATTTTATGATAATTTTAATACTTTTCCAGAATTTTTTTAAGAATTTTTAAGTACGGTGTTTGACGCAAAAATACGTGACGTCACCATTCACAATCTCGTACAAAATTCATAGAAAACTGTCGTTTTTGACAGTTCGAAAAAAGTATTGAATTTGACTAGTTGGCAAATACTGTATTGCATGCATGCCTTGATTGGTGGAACATAGTGAACTGAGCATACATGTAAAATCTTGCAATGCATCTAAATGTACTGTGTTCAGCATTAAAGGTATTTGAATTGAGAACGTTTATTGATTTCGGCCGAAGCAGATGAAGGGCAGACCCTTCATTCGTGCAGTTTCAAGGTTTCTTTACTGGACGCGTCATATTGTTGTCGGAAGTAATAATTGGTGATATTTTAATTACAATAAATAAAAATGTTTAACTATCATGAAGCTACTTATATGGATAAGTATAATTATACTGGTCACCGTGTGTCGACGTCAAATTAAACAAACTAAATGTTAAAGGACTATTTTTCGCAGTTTTACGATCGTCCTTTATTTTATTGTGTTCGTGCATATTAAATATATCGTCTACAAATACAGTTTTGATAGAATGTTGTTTAAATGTGTTTTATATATGAGTTTTAGTAACTCCGAATCTACCTCATTTACCTACATTTACTAACTTTAAACTATAACGCCCAAATTGATAGACCCGTTTCCCAGTGAGAGCGAAATAAACTTTTAAACAAACTAAAAAAACACGTCTTAAAATCTGTAAGTAGGTGCGGTGAACGCAGCTGCAATAATACATGTGAGGGATTCTGAGTCGAATAGTCCAAAGAAGAAGGGTTGGTTTGCTATGAACTCATTTCCGAGCTTCGGATCCAAGCCGGTAACTGGAGTGTCGAGCGGGCCGAGTATTTCTGGCGGAGGCGGCGGTAGCAGGCCTCTGTTGTCTAAGGTCAGGGCTGTGCGCTGCACGTAACTCCTCGGCAGAGCTGACGGACTCGATATGTTCCTGTTTCACGATAAATAATTGTTAATGCAAGTTGAAATTAGGTCTCTTTGTTTCAGACTCCATTCTAATAATAAGTTTCAGTTCTATTTTTAGAGCCTATATGTTTTTCGGACGCGCGGAAGAACTTGTATTGTTGGTTGAATGGGTATATTATTTTGGTTTTTTACAGACCGAGAGGGTTTTGAAAATAGATTAAATAACATTTTAAACTGTTGAACATCCAATCACTGTACCCTATCTTTAGAGGTATAATAAAAAGTATCCAAACATAAATAATTTAAATAGTAACAATTATAGCTACCTCGTGGCCACAGGATCGTTCCATAAACTTGTGATTCCCAATTCTTCAAGCATCGACCTCACGTCCACCTCACTGGTGATCACAACGCGAGGTATAGCCACCTCTACCGGCACGTAGCTAGTCTTGAACGAATCAAACACTTCGAATGCAACACTCGTGTCCAATATATTCAGCTTCTGGTTCACATCATTCGTTTCCAGGAATATTACGAACACCATCTTAAATCTCTCATCCTGACCAACCGGTAACTCTAGCGCCTTCGCATTCACGCTCTTGATGTGCCCCAACCTGGCACGCTTCTTCATCCTCATTAAATCCACAAATCCTACGAGTTCTCCAACTTGGTTGAAGAACGGAGATCGATCGATCTTCGCTTGTTCGAATTCTGTTGTCCAAAGAGCATTATAGTCGATTGTGTCCAGAAGAACTGAATTCCCTGTTAAGTCGAGTCTTGAATTATGAATATTCGTCAACTGCTTCACCTCAATGGTAGTTAAGATTGGATTACTTCGTAGAGGAGCGCTGAGTACTTCAAGGAGGTTGTTCTTCAACACTAGATCGTACCAGGTGGGGTTGAGAGTGACGCCAGAGTCGATCAGTAGGATACGATTGTTAATAATATTGACGTCATCAGACTGGACGATGCGAGAAGTAGCCCGTCGGTAGTACTTCTGTCGGCTGCAGGCGTCCGTAGAGAGTTTTAAAAAGTTGAACAGCTGTTGCTGAGTGTGATAGTCAGCTCCCTCGGCCAATCCAGCTAATGTAAGCCATATCGACAGTGGAGAATACACGTAGTTGAGATCACTGCGTCTGGCGAGTGCCTGGTACGTTATAAGACTGATATTGTACAAGTCCTCCCGAAATTTCCGCGACACATCTTCGTACAAGTTACATGGTTCGGAGATATGAGTGCCGTCCAAGTTGAAGCTGTGAGGTTCCGGACTGCACGCCGCGAGTGTCGCAGCAAGCGAGGTTAACAGTATAATATGCATGTTCCAAACACGTCTGGTTCTTAATATGAAGGAAAAGGTACTAAGGGGTATTTGAATATTTATGTTTTTATACTGAGCGACAAGTGATCGCAATTTAAACAAAAAAATAAATGTAGTATACATAGTTACATACGTATGTCGAAGGATTTATATAAATAAGTTGTCCTTTTTGATGCACTTAAAAATCGTTAAAGAGTGGTCTCATGTGTTCAATGAATTAATCAGGTTTTGTCATTTAATACTTCATTAATTATTTAACATACATTAATTATATCGGGTTATTGATAGCTTACACGCGAGTATAGGTGGTACCAAAATCAATATAACAGGAAAAACGCATGTCATACAAAATTAAGCATTTTTAACCGATAAAGGGTTTTAATAAAAAATACAAGGGCTATCCCTTGGATTTTTTGCGCAAGGACCTCTTTCAGATAAGAAATTAACTTTTGATCGTTTGGAACAAAAAACACCGCACAGCTGGTGCCGAAATGATTACGAATAAAATATATTTGAGAGTGAATGTCCTAAATCGTATGTTTTCCAAAATTGTACAACAAATAAAACACAAGTCAAAGGCTTGACCGGTTGGTGATGACGTAATTAAATCGATATGATTTCGTGGCCTATAGGCGAGTGGTCGACGGTATGGCTATCGATCATGGAGTCTCAGGTTTTAATATAATTTAACCATGGGCTTCAAGTAGGACAGTGAAAAAAATATTTAGGTTAGTAGGTAAACTTTTAATGATATTTGATGTTAAATATTCTGTTGGTTGATCATAATAAAATGGAGTATTCAGGTAAGAGTGCATAAAAACGCTACACCTCTTTGTGATAACCACATAAAACAAGGGTGTTTTAAACGACTGTACTCATCCGTTAAAAACAGTAAGCGTGAAGTAGGTAATATAGTGAGTCTTTAATGATAATTAGCATAACCGACATAACCTGTACCAATAACAAATCAAATGCGGTTCGTCAGTCTCGCTACAACTCCAAAATGGCAGAACTGTTTTCGCTCATTTTGGTTTAAAACTATTTAAAGATGTTTGGAGGCATCATAGGCATAATATACCTAATATCACACCTTTAATCTCCGAATGGCATAGAGGTGTTAATGTCACTTTTCATCTCATCACCTCGGTCAGTTATGTATGAGTTATTAAAGTAAATTCCTCACAAGTACGTTTAGGTATTGGGCATTATAAAATGAAATAATATTACATTGGATGTTGTCATTTATTCTAACCACTTATATATAAGTGGGAGAAGTGTATGCGGCCGCCATGATGCAAGTGTATGTTTCAACATCAAATAGACCGAATAGGAAGGGACGGTCGGCAATGAAATCTCTTCCAAGGGCCAAGTCGAGACCTGTTGGGGCGTTATAAATGTCCGGCTCTTGTGGAGGAGTATACAATCCTGTACTGTTGAGCACAAAGGTGGTACGCTGCAGGAAACTGCTCGGAAAGGCCGGGGGATCCGATATGTACCTGCAGGAAATGTATATTGAGTTGATCGAGGATTATAGGATGTGTGGGTGACGAAAAAGATCAAGTTTCATATCTGATTTCCGTATGAAGACCTTACAACTTTCAAAATTCTCAGTTTAAGGCACGCGTGCAAAATATTATTGCAATAAACTACATCACTGATTCTTACATTCATTAGCCTCCACGGAAACACTATAATTGCAAACTTACCTAGTGGCAGCCGGGTCAGTAAATATCTCAGTGATGCCCAGGTCTTTCAATATCACCCTCACGTCGATCTCACTCGAGATCACCATGCGCGGTATAGCCACATCTATAGGCACTGCACTCTCCCGCAGACTGTCAATCACCTGAAATACCGTCTCACTAGTCACCGCAGCCACCACTGGTTTGATATCTGCATTTCCAATAACAACACCGAAAATCATTCTGTATCGTTCATCTGAACCGACTGATAGTTCCAAAACTTTCGCGTTTACTGCCTTGATGTATCCCATACGTGCACGTCTCCTTACTCTCATCATATCCACACTCCCCAATACTTCCCCTTGAGGACTGTAGAACGGTGCTCGTTCAATAACAGCGTCTGCGAATGCTGTAGTCCAGAGTCCATTGTAGTCTATTGTGTCCAGAAGGACTGAGTTTCCACTTAGATCAAGTGTTGGAAGACGCGCAGACATTATCCTTTTGATCTCGTTAGCTGTGGCCACGCTATTGTACTTGATTGGAGCAGTGACCACATCGAGGAGAGAATTCTTCACAACAATATCATGCCATGTTGGATTGAGAGTTGTGCCTTCGTTGATTAATAAGATGCGATTGTTTCTAATATTCACTTCATTAGATGGAATGGCGCGGGAGGTCGCTAGCTGGTAGAACGCGTATCGTAAGCACGGGTCGTGGGGTGGTAGATGCAGGAGTTGGAACAGTTTCTGTTGAGTCAAAGGGTCAGCACCTTCTGCTATTGCAGCGACTATTGTCCATATTGAAATGGGAGAGTATACAAAGTTGAAATTGCTTCTCACTGCGACGGGTCTTAATGAGAAGAGGCAGAAGTCGTAAGTAGCTGACCGGTAATCGCGGATGTAGTCTCGGTTCACATTGCACAGTCCTGGGTCACTCGTGTATTGTATGGAGGAGCTGGGCACTACGGGCAGGTGTTGTTGCCCTGATATGAGGACACTGCAGGCCACTAGACACAATATTATTAATGTCTGCATTGTTGCACGTTTAAATGTAGTCTCTCGATATTATGTACTAATTTTCTTTGTAATTCCAGTTCTTTATATAGGTCAAAGAGCATTATATTTTTGATATAAAAAATGTGTCATAAGTAGCATGCGAACTGACCTGTTATTCTGGTCATATTATGTAAATAGAAAAATTTGCATTCTACCTAATAACTGTATAATAATCAAAGTTTTCATTAACATAAATAACATAACGTTACGTTTACGTAAGTAGGGGAACTCATAAAATAGATTGTAAACATTTAAACACCCACTTACCAGTTATTTATGTCCCATGTACTTAATGGGAGATTTTTTTTGTGCGGTCAAAAGTATTTTTTAAGTCATTCTTATTAGATAAGCTAACTTCAGTCACTTATGGCTAGAAACTAAATTCCTTGCTGCGGTGGGGTAACTTCAGGGTGACAAACCGGCGAAATGCCACGGGCCCCCAGCTGGGAAGGGGCGCCGTTCAGAAGTTCTCTTCTCTCAGAGGGAGTGTCAGACTTACCTACTGACTAAAAACCACCCCGTTCCTTCTCCTGCACGTCGAGCCGGAGCCCCGGTTACCCGTTAGGTTCTCCGCGACACCCCGAAGGGTATAGTTACGCCACTGCCTTGCTGGCACCTAACTATGACCTAACCGTCGATTTTCTTAGCCAACGTAAAATAAAATAAGTTCTAGATTGGATGTTGTCATTTATTCTAACCACTTATAAAGAGGGTGAAGTGTATGCGGCCGCCATGATACATGTATAGGTTTCAGCATCGAATAGACCGAAAAGGAAGGGACGGTCGGCAATGAAATCCCTTCCGACTACCAACTCGAGACCAGTCGGGGCGTTATAGATTTCTGGCTCTTGTGGCGGAGCATATAATCCAGTATTGTTGAGCACCAAGGTGGCACGCTGCAGGAAACTGCTCGGGAAGGCCGGGGGATCCGATATGTATCTGCAGGAAATGCATAGAATTCTTAAACTTCTGTGTTTCGAAATAAAGTCGAATCGATGTCTACATCATAACATCTACCTGCATGTCAAACTTCAACCCGATCTATATAAAACTGACAACGTCTCATACAAACTTTCATCCCCTATTCTACACCTTGGGGATGGAAATTATCAAAATTATTTCATAGCAGATGCCTACGTTATGACATCTATCTGCATGCCAAATTTCAACCCGATCAGTTTAAAACTGACAAAGTTTCATACAAACTTCATCCCCTTTTTTACCCTCTTAGGGGTGGAAATATCAAAATCCTTTCTTAGCGGATTCCTACGTCATAACAACTATCTGTATGCCAAATTTTAACCCAATCCGTCCAACGGTTCGGGCTGTGCGTTGATAGATCACTATGTCAGTCAGTCAGTCAATCACCTTTGAATTATATATGTATAGATTAAAGTAGAGGATTTGGCAATCGATAGTCTTAATTGTAACTTCTTTTTGTAAATCCTAGTTAACTGCCTCGCTGATGGAGCAGCATCACATGTGTCTTTGACAGATAAGGCCAGGTTCAAATCCGATTTCTAAATAAATTATGAGCTTTATAAATTTTCAGGTTAGTTTACTTCTACAAAGTATTGCTACAAGACATAGCAGAATCACATTAGCCCCAAAAGTAATATTCCGATGGTAAACTCACCTAGTGGTGGAGGGATCGGTAAATATATCTGTGACTCCTATATCTTCCAGTATTACCCTGACGTCGACCTCGCTCGAGATCACCATGCGCGGTATCGCCACATCTATAGGCACTGCACTCTCCCGCAGACTGTCAATCATCTCAAACACCGTTGCGCTGGTCACCGCAGCCACGACTGGTTTGATGTCGGGATTTCCAATTATAACACTGAACAACATTCTGTAACGTTCATCTGCGCCAACTGCCAGTTCCAATATTTTTGCGTGTATTGACTTGATGTACCCCATACGGGCACGTCTCCTTACTCTCATCATATCCACACTCCCCAATACTTCCCCTTGAGGACTGTAGAACGGTGCTCGTTCAATGACAGCGTCTGCGAATGCTGTAGTCCAGAGTCCATTGTAGTCTATTGTGTCCAGAAGGACTGAGTTTCCACTTAGACTAAGTGTTGGAAGACGCGCAGACATTATCTTTTTGATCTCGTTAGCTGTGGCCACGCTATTGTACTTGATTGGAGCAGTGACCACATCGAGGAGAGAATTCTTCACAACAATATCATGCCATGTTGGATTAAGAGTTGTGCCTTCGTTGATTAATAAGATGCGATTGTTTCTAATATTCACTTCTTTGGATGGGAGTGCGCGGGAGGTTGCTATCTGGTAGAACGCGTATCGTAAGCACGGGTCGTGGGGTGGTAGATGCAGGAGTTGGAACAGGTTCTGTTGAGTTAAAGGATCAGCACCTTCTGCTATAGCAGCAAGCATCATCCATATTGAAATGGGAGAGTATACAAAGTTGAAATTGCTTCTCACTGCGACGGGTCTGTATGAGAAGAGGCAGAAGTCGTAAGTAGCTGACCGGTACTCGCGGATGTAGTCTCGGTTCACATTGCACAGTCCTGGGTCACTCGTGTATTGTATGGAGGAGCTGGGCACTACGGGCAGGTGTTGTTGCCCTGATATGAGGGCACTGCAGGCCACTAGACACAATATGGTTAACGTCTGCATTGTTGCACGTTTAGATCTAGTCTCTCGATGTTTAGTACTAACTTCTATTGTGTTTCCAGTTCTTTATATAGATCATAGACAAATTATATCTAGGACATAAAAAATGTATTAAAATTGCATGAGACTTGCCCTATCATTTTGGTCATATTTTGTTAATAAACCAAATTGCACTTTTATTGCTTAATAGATAATTAAGTTTTTAGTATCATGTTACTTACTATACACCACTACTGCATATGTATACCTTGTCTGCCTAGACAATTTTGTGTTTTTTGTAAACAACTAATATTATCTGATGTGTAATATTTTTACAACTGTGACTAATGTGAATTGATTATGTATGTAGTAGGTACCTACTTGGAGAAAAACATAATTTGCATAGAAATGTTCCTGAACAGACGAGCATTGAGCAAATCAAAATGTTAGTTGCACGTAACAGTGGTCAAGCCAAGGTTGTTTGAACAAGAACCAGAATTTAATTGATAACAAAATAAAAATTACAAAAATATAGACAATCTGTATTATTACATATTCATACGATTCATATCTACTGCCAAAATTGTTTTAATAAAATCATTGCGTTTGAAAATCTGTCGGACCGAAAGCCCTAGTTCATTTAAATATTAAAACAGAGTTAATGTTTGAAACCTACATAGTTGAACCTACTCTAAAATCTGCCGAAGTGCGAAAACTTTATCAAAATAATAAATTCTTTTAAAACCAGATCGCACACGACCTCTTTTTATTTTTCGACAGCAGCTGTATGTAATTTGAAACAAGATACGGAATGTCATAAAAAATAAAAACATATAAAAGAAACCAAATATTCTCGTTTAATGCAGTTTTACAAAGGAACTAGTTTCTTGAGATACAGCTAGGTATGGAATATAATAACAAAGACATGGTTTATATAAAATCAGGGTAAGTTGGTTGTGAATACATATTCGACATAAGGCAAGTATAAGTCTCTGTATCAAATAGGCCAAACATGAAGGGTCGGTCAGCTATGAACTCATTCCAGAAGGATTCTTCAGGAGTCTTGGGGTACCCGGAAGACCGAAGTCCGGGGACTAGAGGGGGATTCACTCCATGTTTGTTGAGAGTTAGTGTAGCTCGCTGCACGTAACTGCTGGGCAAGGCCGGCGGGGTGGAAATGTACCTGTTGTAAAAATATTCGGTGTTGTCAGTACCGTCCTTTGTTTACGCAAAAGAGTTTGTGTTTGGATAATTTATTTCAGAAGTATTGCATGAACTGTTTTAGTGTTATTCCATCTGAGGATGGGATTAAGTGCTGATCACTTAAATGAAGTGGTCATTTTAACCCCGAATAACTTCTTTATTGAAATTGGCGTCGCTCCAAAAATCGAAAATCGTCTACTAATTGCTGCTTTACACTTGAACGCCATCCAAAAACTGTTACGAACTATTACACTGTTTTACAAAACTCCCAAAGTATTACAAATTTATTTGATGAAGGACCATCTCGAAAGGTCCGTCCTAAACCGTTTCAATACGAAATTAATGTAATTGCCTTCGGGGCCGACAGAATTAAGACCACAAATTGTTTTGGAGGTCATTGGATTTGCTTAAATTAAGCAGGGAACTAAATTTACAATAAGATATTATACCTGGTGGCATCTGGATCTGTCCATAGACTCGTGATTCCTAGATCTTCTAGAATGACCTTCACATCTACCTCTGAGTTCAATGTGAACTGCGGCAATGCAATGTCTATCGGTACGTAGCTGTCTCTCAAAGAAGTTAACACATCTGTGACGATAGAACTCTTGAACTCTCTGATAACAGGACGAACATCTGAATTTCCAACGACGAGAGCAATCACCATACTATACTGACTGTTTGTTCCTATAGGCAACTCTAAGATCTTTGCCGATATTGAAGGCACGTAACCAATCTTACAGCGCCGCTTCACCGTCATCATATCAACAGTACCAATACGTTGTCCCGATATACTATGGAACGGGGCACGCTGGACCACTGCGTCAGCAAACGCTGTATTCCAAAGTCCATTGTAATCCATAGTGTCAATAAGAACTGAATTGCCTTGCAAGTTGAGAGGTACATAGTTAGCATACACAGCCTGTCTGATGCTGCTCGCTGCGGCGACCGGATTGTGTCGTATGGGCGCCGACACCACTTCGATCAGTGAATTTTTTGTTACAAAGTTGTGCCACGCCGGATTCGGAGTGACACCGTGATCGATTACGAGTGCTCGATTGCTGACTACTGTGGCATCCGATGAGTAAGAAAATCGGCTCGCTGCGAGTTGGTAGTATTTTTGTCGTACACACGCATCGTTAGGAAGAAGTAGAAGTTGAAACAATTGCTGTTGAGTCTCGTGGTTTGCCCCTTCAGCGATGGCGGCTACCGTCATCCATAGGGAGTGGGGTGACACCACGAACTGGTAGGTCCCTCGCGGCGCCACTCGCTTGTAAGTCTCGATGGTGAAGTTGTACATAGCGTCACGGTAGCCATCGACCACATCGGGGTAGTTAGAGCACGCTCCTAAGTCTGTACGGAGCGTATCTAAGGACCCGTACAAGCTCACTACATCTCGCTTCGAAGCCGAACATGTTAGTATACAGAATCCCAAAATAATTGCTATCATTGTAGCAACGCACCCGAATAGCAGATCAAAACGAACTGGCATTGATGTTTACGCTTGGTTCTTATATAGGTACTTGATACCATTTATATTATGTTGTACATATTTAAGACGGAAAGATGAGACAGGTAAATGATTTTGATTTATTAGAACTAAAAACAATTTGCAATGTCAGTCATTGATATTGGTTGTTTACGTTTATGAGGGAAACTAAAAAATGTCTTTAGTATGAGAACATTAAACGTGGGCATTGGAACCTGTTGCATCTCAAGCAACTGGCTGCTGAAGGTCGATGTGATACCGGAATCGTAATTTTAATTTAAATGTTACAGATTAATTTAGTTTTTATTAATGCTGGATATCATTCGTCACACCTGCATGCACTGGTAAGTGACCGAGCTGTTGGCCACATAAATATGTAATCTATATTAATATGATTAAGTTGAAGATTGCGGTGAACTCTGATACTACATGCTCGAGTTATTTCTAATTTATTTAGAGTTTATGACATGGATAGAATGGATAGATAATCCTAGATGTCCCTGCTTAACTCGTCGAGTACCGGTTTTGTAGACACAATTATAGAACAATAGGTTGCGGTCACCGGTGACCGCTTGGTGTTTGACAGTTTAATAACCTGATTAGGTACAAACGTAATGTGACATAAATCCTCGACCTTATTTTGGAATTACTAACATTGAACTTATTACTGAGATCCAGTATCAAGAGAAAAAATGGAGCTCAACCATCAAGGACCTAAGCACTTGTCCCATTAGCATAAAATCACACATTCTTCTTGAGAAAGTCTATAAAACAAGAAAGGGGGCGGGGCAGAGACATCTGCTGGATTTAAACGTAGACGAAGGCGGGTCGGGTTGGGTAATTCAGGTCATTAGACCGACCTAACTGAGACGTATCCGCCCTCACTTGAGTTACCCACCAAATGTTACTAAGTACTTCAGCTTTTTGTTACAAAACCCAACGCACAAAAGAAAATATTTCGAGAAAGACTTGAAGTCGCACGCGACAGAAGATACTAAGCACGTTTGTAATGCCTATAGACTACTACTTACTTACTTCTTTAGTGCGTAGGACACGAAGTCGTTATTTTAGCCTAGTACACCGAAGAGTTTTTGTGCGTGTGACTACATCTCTTTAATTAAATCATTAACTCTAATATTTGTAGGTACGATAACAAATGCTATCGAAAGGCACTCGCGATAGCAACTCATATGATTATACTAGATTGACAAAAATTTATCGCGAACATGTTTATTAACTATTTTGAAGTTATTACAGAAATTAGGTCATTAATCTTCTATAACACAAAACAAGGTTTGTCCTATTCACATTTAGGAAAAGCACGAGTGAGCCACCGTGATGCACAATTGATTAGTGAAGATATACTATAGGTTCTAGAAAAGATAGTAAGCAAGTTAGCTCTTTCAACTTTTAAGGTCGATTTTTCAATCAACAATTATTTCTTAACGGTAGAATAAAATTGACATTCGATCGTTTTTAGTATGTAAGAATTCGTATGTGTCCTCCGATTGATAATTGCGTTGGAAAAATAGGCCTTTTAACTGCGATCCAATTCGGACGAGTTAGAGATCAGTTATGATGAATTTAAGTAAAGACGGTCCATAATCCAGCAGCGGACGTAACCATTTCGGATTGAAGGCAATACCTTTTTGGTGTTAATTTTTACGTCGGTGATTCTTCAGACTGTTAAACAACTGAATTTAAGAATTAAAACATCAAAATTTTTGTTCTCGATCAATGAAGCATAAACGTTATTATAATAATAAATGCAGTGATTATCAATACAATTAATTAATTATTCAAGTTTTGACGATCAAAAGTATCAGTCACTAACGAGTATTCTTTTTTTTATATAAAAATCAACCAAAGGAATTTGTATTTATTTTTTAAAGGTATGCATTAACGTCTTAGAGATGGCAAATTAGTGACATTAGAAGCCTTGTCTATCAAGCAAGGAGTTGTAAATTCTGAATTGAGTACATTAATAAACAATTTAATAAAGATTATATGAAAGTTGTTTTGGTCATACGAACACTATGTACTAAAATATTTCCGTACAATAAAAACACGACATACGATACACAAAAACATAAAAGATCACTTGAAATGCAGTAATTGCTCGTTTATAATAAGTTACGTAAAGGTTACTCACTCAAAAAAGAAAACAACGTTTGATTTCAATACATAACAATGCCTGTTTAACGTCTGACTGTCTGTAAACAGCAGTAGATCCCATAGTACTTATGGAGTTCTTTTAAAAATGATGTGTATATTTTTTGTACATGGTTGGCAATGCACTCATGATGCCTTTGGTGTTGCTAAAATGTCGGTGACCTCTTAAGATCTGGCGGACTGAAACCTTTTACTTCGGCATAAAAATACAGTCTTTGTTGGGACAAGCCCGCCACAACCTCCCAAAACCGCTGCAACTCCTGTAAGCCAAGATCTACAGTAGATACAACCATGAAAACATCGGAACACTGAAGTCCGGTGCGTCCCAGGGACATGAGTAACTGTCCTGATTCCCGCAACGAAGTGAATCTATATAATACTAGCGGCCCGTCCCGGCTTCGCACAGGGGGACTTAAGATTTTTTACATAGTTTTACGTTTTATTTATATTTATTCTCAGTTTTTTTTTATTTAGGAAGTATTTACCTTTGGAAAATATTTTCCCGGACTTCATTTACTTATTTCATTTATTTATGAACAATTCATCTATAGAGCATTTTTGTATAACTTTAACTATATGCTCAGCGCACGCCACGGAAGGCCTCAGAAACGATACTTTTCCCCCGTTTTTAAAACATTTTTGGTTACTGCTCCACAACTATAGGACCTAGCGTGATATTATATAGCCTATGTTACTTCTGAATAATGCAGCTTTCTAATGGTGAAAAAATTATTGCAATCGGTCCAGTAGTTTTTGAGTTTATTCATTACAAACATACAAAAATACAAATATTTTCTCTTTATAATATTAGTATAGATATAGATATATATTATAAGAGAAGAAGAAAAAAACGATAGTTTCCTCTTCCCTCGGTGAATTATTGCAGGTAAAAATACAGTCATGCAAAACCGGGTGACATAATTAGTTTTTATAAAATTAAACTGCTCAGATACTCGTTTCTATTCTTATTGCTAACTAGCCTGCCAGTAGCTTCGCCCGCGTTCTCAGGAGTAAGAATTAGCTTGTGTGTAACTCCAGACCGTAACCTCCACAGAAGGGGCCCAAATAGGGCCGATGCCGATTCGGAGTCGCGGAGAACCTAACGGGTAACCGGGGCTCCGGCTCGACGTGCAGGAGAAGGAACGGGGTGGTTTTTAGTCAGTAAGAGTCTGACACTCCCTCCCGCCTCACCCAGGCGGGAGCAGTCATTCGATGATTTTCCCCCCTTAAAAAAAAAAAGGACCGTAACCTACCACTGTTCTGGTACTTTCATTCCGGTACTTTCAGCCGTCTTAATGTGACTGAGTAACATACATACACTCAAACTCACATATTTTCACATTTTTAATATCGGTTTAAGCTAATTTCAACCATCGGTCCTACAATTACGTCGTCAAGTCCACTAGGGACAACCTAACATTCGACAAACTTATATTTGCGTTTGGTACAATAACTATGTTTAGGGATTGAGCCGTATAATTAAGTTTGTTTCTTTGTGTATATCCTTTTTCGGGACAAAAAGTAGACAGTGTTGTGCCCAGGATACTAAAGTATAATCCAAGTGTCACCGTAATCGGACCGGTGGTTTTTGCGTGACGCGTGAACATACAGACAGACAAATCCTAGGTATATAATTATGCAGATACATAGTATTTATATAAAATACTCATAAATGTCATGTTTTTCAAATTTTAATTTGCAAGAATTAGTTTTGGTCCTTTTGTACGAAAACGTTTATTTTTAATCTTTTCAAGTTTCTGACGTTTGTAAAAAACTTGGGTAAGTACCTATCTACCAATATTTGTATGATTAATTTTATTTGAATGAGTAAATGAAATGCCAGTAATTTCATACAACTCATTACGCACATTAAATGTCTTGTCGCGTAAAAAACGGATTGAAAATCCTTCAAATATCCTTTTAAGTTAAAACATCACAAGTAAGGAGTAAAAAAAAACGAATAAAGCAAATCAAAAATTTAATAGAATTCAAATCAATTAACACAAAAAAAAACAAAGGCCGGTCGTCTGAACTCAAACCAGCGCATAAAACTACACCGAACAGTCAAACATCTTCAACAAACTTTAGACCTTATAAACAAAACGATGAAGTTGGTAATCCATTAAAGAAGTCCGAGTAGCTTGATATGCTGGTCTTAAAAACTGTATGTTGGTTGACTATAAAGGGCAGTCATAAGGCAGGTGTATGTTTCTGTATCAAAGACTGCATACAAAAATGGCTGGTTTGCGATAAAATCCCTTCCTAATACTTCTTCCAATCCCGTAGTTTGATTATACGGAGCTTCCCTGAACAGCGGGGAAGGCATCACTCCTTGGTTGTCCAGAGTTATCGTAGACCGCTGCAAGAAGCCACTCGGTAACGCCGCTGGACTCGAAATCTCCCTGTAGTAAAATTGCAAGTTTAACCTCTATGCTATTGGTATAGGTGTTGAAGTTGTATAATAAAGTTGATAGATTGAGTTGAGTGATTTTATGTTTGATAGTATTAAAAACGAGGAAGCGACTATAGATAGAACTTATAGATTAGACGAAACATTTATTAAAGATCGATGAAAATGATGTCACTGTTAAGTTAGGAGCAAAATATTACCCGGTCACAGTTGGATCTGTCCAGAGGTTGTTGACTCCTAAGTTCTCCAGTATCTGCCTGACGTTTATCTCAGATGTCATCTTAAACCTTGGGATAGCGATGTCGACAGGTACGTAACTATCCCGGGAAGAACTCATATACTCCAGAATGACGGTACTTCTAATCATTTGAATCTTAGCAGCTAAGTCATTGCTGTCAAGGATCAAAGCAAACAGCATGCGATACCTATTATCTACACCAACTGGGAGATCCAACACTTTAGCATTAATACTAGCAAGGTAAGCCATTTTCGCAGGTCTCGTCACCTTCATCATATCAACAGAACCGACTTTTTGTCCCAAAAAGTCATAGAACGACGACCGCTGTATAACTGCGTCAGAAAACGCTGTCGACCACAATCCATTATAGTCCATCACGTCAACAAAAACCGAGTTGCCACTCAAGTCAAGATTCGACAAACTTGACACAGAGGAAAGATACCTAATTGCGTTAAGCGATCCCTCGGGATCGTAGCGAAATGGGACTGACACTACATCGATGAGATTGTTCTTTGAGACGAAGTCGTGCCAGTGTGGGTTTACAACGACGCTTTGATCCACGACCAAGGAACGCGTCGACACAATACTGACATCGTACCCGGGGAGGTATCGACTTGTAGCTAATTGGTAGTACTTTAGACGAACGCAGGGGTCGTTCGGGAGCCTCAGGAGCCGGAACAGCTGTTGCTTTGTGTAAGGGTCCGCGCCCTCCGCCACCGCTGCGAGCATTATCCACACGGACAGAGGGGAAAATATAAAATGGTGCAAACTACGAGTAGCAACATCCCTGTACGTCTCGGTAGCGAACTCGTATATAGCAGTACGGTAATCAATGGTGACGTCACGATACAAGGGACAAGAAGAGCCAACACTGCGCGAATATATCTCTTGAAATCCAATGGCGAATGCACTCGTCAATATAAATGGTATAAATAGTGCGACCGATTTCATAATGAAAGAACACGTCTGCGTAGTGTTTGGAAAAATATTTTTCTACATAATGTGGCGCTCCGGATTTACTTATATAGGTTATCGCCTGCCTTTGATGCTATAGCACGTTGCAAGGCAAAGGTAGCGGCACACAGGGCGTATTGTGCAGGCGACAGGTAAATCCGCTTAATGCGCTCAAGCTTTGCTGGACGATTTGTCGGAGAGAAACGTTTTGCTCTTAGTGTGCCTGTTGAATGCACACGAGTTGTTTGTGAGCACTCCGGCCAAGTTTGGCGTTAGAATTGATTTTCTCGTAACATACAGTGGAGCAGTTCACGGATTGCATGTGTGAGAGTTTCAAAGGTTTACTAGTTCTGCTTTGCCTCAGTAAAGTTTAATTCTAATTTACATAGTTTACCCCGTGTGGTAAGTAAATGTTAGATAAATGGAGATTAAAGCCTTTGACCTCTCATGGTCATAAAAAAAGGATTAACAAAACCTTGTTTGGTTTTGTTAATACTTAGCATTAGCATAAGCTATTCTTACATTTGCTAATGCAAACAAAAAAAAAACTACTTGTCAATTACTTTTTTGGTCTTCACATATGACGCTAGCAAGGTCACAGGTGTAAACTAGTTTTTACAATTACTCTCATTTTTTAATAACAAAAATAAGTATTGGTCCACACTAGGATCCGCTTCAACACCCTTTCATTTTCAAAGACTGTAGTCTGCCGAAGTTGAACACAATGAACAATGCATTCGCGAATCGTCATTACATACGAAAGTAATCGATCCATGCGACCTACCACTTCTCGCTCGAGGCTGACAATGCGATTGGCTTACGTGTTACCCCCCTTTTCAGAAGCACAAAGGCTGCGTAAAATCGTAATTTCAAAGCAATCGTCGATTATTCGCTCTTCCTATTTCGACTTACGTCGTCAAGTGTCGTTGAATGCCAAAAAGCTTTGGGAGCGCTCAAACCGAATTACGTCAAACAATTAGATGATTGAGTGAGACGAGAGTCTAAGTTATGTTGAGTGGTGCTCGCTTACTTCACAACTTACTTAGGTAAGTGTTTGTTCTTCACGTAGCGTCCGTTTCTTTTAGAGGAAGAATTAATTAATTCTGATTAGTTAGAGCTGGTGGATGTTACTGGTTAGCTTAGGGATATTTTATTCTAAGTGATGGGTTCTCCAGCCAACATGTATTAGCCATGCAAAACAACGGTGTTTCTGATTAGTAACATAAAACTTATGTTGATTACATTTCTTTATCGTTTTAACTAGCGACCCGCCCCGGCTTCGCACGGGTGCAATATGTATATACATACAAACCTTCCTTAAGAATCACTCTATCTATTAAAAAAAGTTGCGTAGTTTTAAAGATCTAAGCATACATACGGACATACAGCGAAAGCGATTTGTTTTATACTATGTATTGATGATCATTTCGAAAATAGTACACTATCATAATTATAGCACTATAGTATATTGTGCGAGCGAGCAATGATCTCAATTTACTCTGTTAAGATTTTTCTTTCGACCCATTTAACACAAAACTTACTGTGGCGCGCAGGCAGCTGAACCTTGATTTCTTTAATTCATAGTGGGTATACGGTCCTTAATATTTGGAGTAATTTGTGCATCATTATAGATTGCCTGTGGCTTAAAAAGTTTTATAAGTAATTTTAGTATTGTGTTGGCATGTTTCTATTCTTTATTACTAATCGTGGAAACCAGTAATTGGCTTTTTGTTGCATACCACATCCTATTTAATCAAATTGAATAGCTGTTGGTTTTCCAAATGTATAAATAAATTCATAAATAAAAATCGTCATCATTATCCACAAACATCAATTGCTAAACATCGACCTCCTTCGATGACTTCCACATCAGCTGGCTTGAAGCGACTAATACCCAGCTGCTCTTTATGATCTTCATCAGGTCATCTATCAGAAGTATCATTAATAAAGACAGATTCTATTAGCAAGTTATTCCATCCTCCTACGAGAACGGGATGACAACCCACGCTTATTATTGGGCATGCCATTACTGAAACAATTTATGAGAGTATTCTTGCGTGTATCTATTTTAGAATCGTCTGTGCTAAAAATATACTTAACAATCAACATTTTTCTTCCAAAAATAACACAAAGTATGTACACCGTAGATATATTTTTTTACGCTACTCTTCTGTCTGTATCTGTATTATTTATTTCGCCCGTATGGAATTTAGAAGGTCTCGATTCCACATAGATATGAAGTAGAGAGTAAGTATTATACGTCACTTTCCGAAAGTTAAATCAAACTCCATTCAGTGCCAACTATAGACTACTAATTAGTTTTATTGATCCCCGATGCAAACGACCAAACGGTCCAACTGTTCCTTTTTCAAAGAGATAGCAATCTATACAGATAAATACAATTGGAGTGTCTGTTTGTAATATTAAAATAACTGCTTTTTACTACATGCATTTAAATATACGTACATACGGTACACATACAAAAATAACAAGTTTTTTAATTTTTGTCTGCCTGTCTGTTTGTACTGGCAAATCTCTGAAATGGCCCAACCAAGTTTGCAAGACTTTTGTTGGCAGGTAGCTGATGTACCATACTAAGGAGTAACATAGCATAGGCTACTCTTATTTTGAAATATTGAAACAAAAGAAGGTATGTTCTAAAATTAATATTCTACGCAGACGGAGTCGCGGGCAACAGCTAGTATTTAAATATTTGCATTATAACAATAAAAAAATGTTTCCTTAAATGTTTAGGAACGTTTAATAAGCTTAGTGATTATAATGAGCTCCTCAGAAGTAAATGTTGACGTCAAATGATGGCGATTTAATGCCAACATCGAGGAGGAAAATGTGAGTAATTTTTAAGCAAAGAAAATATAAAGCTCGCATGAAATTATTTACTGAATATTATAACAGACGCTCATTAATATCAACGTGTTTTATTCAGTTCCTTCTGACGTTTATATATTCGAGAGTTTTTATTTATTCTGATTTAATGAATGCTAGTTACATTTATGAGACGTTGTTATGTGTACTAGTCCATTGGTTATTTCGATAACGGCTGAAATCTGAAATTTAAAACCGATGTCAATCCAAATTACATGAATTAAGGGCTAATTTTGTCAACACAATAAATTTTATCAGAAGAATAACTTTAAACATTACAGAATTTGACTGCACGGCTGGTGCGGTGGCTGGGCAACCGGCTGCCGTGCAACGTGTCGCGGGTTCGATTCCCGCACGGAACAACTCTTTGTGTGATCCACAGATTGTTGTTCCGGGTCTGGGTGTCATTGTGTATGTGAACTTGTATGTTTGTAAACGCACCCACGACACAGGAGAAAATCCTAGTGTGGGGCAAAGTTTTTCAAAAAAAAAAAAAAAAAAAGAATTCTTCCATACCAAACAACTGTCAAATCCAAAATGTATTCAACTGTTAAGAATTATCAGTTGATTAACTAAAATCGCGGATTACTCATGTGAATATACTGAGAAAAGCTCAACTAGTTTCAAACCACAGAGGAGTCCTTCCTCATGAGCAGCGTGCGCGGTCGCGGCGACGTCGCGCAGCTCACTGAGTAACCCGAGATTTTAGTAAATTTAGTATGTCTCACGATAGTTATTGTAATTATGTATTGATTGAAAAATCGGCCCTAAGATGGATTCCTAACATTAGTTATATGAATATTCTTTCAAAAATAGATAAACTTCGATTCTGGGGATTTTTGTATAGCATATGGCAGGTATGTTTATCTGCCAGCTTTGTCCTCCATTTATCTATTTTAATGATACTATTCAGAAAAAAGAACTAATAGTAATAATCAAGAAACTTCGACAAAACCATTTCAAAAATCAATTAAGTATAAACCTTTATAAATTATTCAACTAAATATTAATAGCTCAGTAACAAAATAATATATTTTCTTAATAGGTCATATTTTTTCGAAAATGCACAAAAAACGTCTGACATTCAGAAAATCCTATTTGCACCCAATGCAATTAAAATCTAGGTAATAACAATACTTAAGTAGGTAGGTAATGAAACGTGTTTCATTTATTAATCTTTAAAATAATTTTTGGTCACTAGCTAATTGACATTTTAATTGTAATTTGCTAATCATGCTAAATGCATAATTTGCTAAATGGTACCTATGTAATAAATTATGAGGATTAAAACTAACAACATTATGTACCTACCTACAGTAACAGTGCTATGAAAAACAAATGGCATGCGATAGTGAAACGAGAGAATACAAAACTCGTGGTTGACGGAAATTTTGATATGGCGAGAGAAATCTTGACTATTGTTTTCCGGATCGAATAGAGTATTGTTTATTTTTACCGCCTTCAAAAAAAGGTACTATGTTCGAATGATTGTTTTTTTTTTGATCATCGATAACTCCGCCATTTTTCAATATTGTGGTAGTCTAGTTTTCTTTTCCACTCAGATTTTAAAGGACCGAACTAACAAAATGTAACCTAAAAAATACGCTTGAAAAACATAACCTCTAATTAGTCCGGTAAAAATAAATATACCATTAAATAAAGAAAAAGAAAAGAAATAAAATGCAAATTATAAAACATTTTTATTTTTTACTCCATCAAATTGGCTACTGATAAAAACTTATTTTTAATCTATCTCTAAAGCGAATTCGAATCTATTTTTTCTTGATTCAATTTTTTATTAATTAGTGGCACAGATGTTGTAAGAACTGCAATATTGAAACTGGTTTTACTTAATTGATTCGTACTACTATATAATTTAATTTAGAGAACAAAAGATATATCTTTTTTATTTATATCACATGATATTGTGCAACCACATCTTATTTTACGTTTAGGTAGGTTGTACAGTCTGCATAGCTATTTAGTATGCAGATAGAAAATAAAGATGATGACACAGAACAGAGACAGAAGCTATAGCTATACTATGTGTCGTGGAGAACCTAACGGGATACCGGGACCTGGTTTTTAGCCAGTAAGAGTCTGACACTCCCTCCCGCCTCACCC